ACGTCTCATGCCTTCGACCACCAGGCGAGGAAGGGCGCTTTTGGGTCTCAACGCCTGCTGAGCTGCGTGATCGCTACGGCGGTGCCTTGCTAGGCCCCAAAGTGGTGGGATTTCAATAACGCGGTCCAGGCTAGTAGTGTCCGTTACATCAAGCACATGTTCACAAATAACAGCAATGTAAGTACGTAATTTTCAGGGGTCCTTTGCGATTGATATAGATTGGCAAATGGATGTGTTTTGCCAGGAGCGAACAAGCAAGGGCTGCTGACACCAATTCAATGGCTGTTCAATTACATCTCTTCGCCAAATCAAGGGCTCTGGGGTAATATGATAATGCAAGAAACAGAGCGATCACAAACTCTGGCGTGGGCTGGTCATCCAGAATTGAACCAATGGTTAGCCATGTTCTGTAATGCCGAGTGCTTCAAAGCTCTTAGTCTGTAACGAAAAAAGCATATATGGTACATGCGGTCGCAACGAGTTGGCTCTTGCCTTTCTGTTTTTGCCTTTTCAGTTTCTTCTCGTAGTCACGAGTGACGCAAAGAAACAGGACCAAGACACGTCTCTTGCCGCTGCCAACAAGGTCGGAACGGTCAGGTTACTCAAGGAGTGCATGTTGGAACTCGGACAAATCCGACTCCGCACAGAAAACAGCGCTGAGTCAAACGCGGAGCGGGACATTTGTGCCTGCCCAGCATCGTAGAAGAGCTTCACGAAGGATCGAGCACCCTGCGAGGAGGGGAGCTGGACAGAGGTGAGACATGGTGAGACTGATTGAAGGCTAAATGGAGGGTGTGTGCATTCATCAAAAATACCATCCACGAAGTTCTGCGAAGGTTTGCAGGTTTTTGTTGCAGTCAGTGTTCCTACTGGCCAGCATTCGCGTCGTTCCGTCCACGAACAGCCCCGGGTTCCACGAATGTCCTGGACCTTCCACGATGTTAGTAGAATAGGTTTTTGTCTGTGCACTACCCTTCCGTTTGCCTCTGACTAATGAAGGATCGATGGTTTTGTTTACAGCAGCCAATTCGATGAAAGGAACCTCTCTGCTTGCCCTTTTCAACCCATACAAACCAGGATTCTTGCCAACAAGGGTCACAGAATTGTAAAAGCGTCTTACAGCTACAACACCCGTAACAAGCCCACGGTAACCCACATATGTTGCTTGATGGGGGGTCGAAGGCTGGGATGTTTTGGGACATTTGATGACACGAAAATGAAGAGTGGATCAGCTGTTGACAGCAAGTTGCAACAAATGGTACAGTGAGTGTGAAAACTTGTTTTTGTTGACTGCAGTCCTGGAAGCCTTTGGTAGTTTGTAATATACCAACGTCGTGCAGGCATATCAATTCAATGCTCATGCACTTCTGCTGTCAAGGGTTGCTGAACAATTTGCGAGCCCACCAGCCCACCAGTTCACCCGCCACCGCCTCGACAGCAGACTGTGCTTCAGGGCTCTTTGGGTCCAGCAACCACTCAGCCCTGGGATTAACAGAGCAACAAGACGCAAAGGATCAACCTAATATAGCCTCCAACCTACTAGCGATGGCCTCCAACCTACAAACTTTTAACTTACAGTATATGTCGGGTCTATCCAAACATCCTGGGCCCAGTGGATGCTAATGGTGCAGGCAAATTCAAAAACATAGTGATAATCTATTGATAATCTTTATTCGACTATTGCAGGTAACGGGACACACCCAATTCATATGGTTTCACCTTGAAAAGGTAGAGACCCCTCATCCAGTCCCTGTCAAAGTGTTGATGACCAATGAAACAAAGCACCCTTATGTGGAGCGCACCGCTGGCCGGGTTTCGGTTTGATTCAGGGGTATAGAATCAAGGCCGACGAACACATCACACGGAAGTGGAAAATCGGGAAAACCCACTGTTTGTACAGAAATATTAGTCTTCCAAGGAGCCATTTGCCAATTCCACGATGAATTCCAGGGAGTGTATTTCAAGGCATGATTAATTCCAGACCTCACTGGAAAGGCTGAGATCCATGTGGGCGCAACAAACGGTTGGGGCAACACATGTAGGCTCTTGATTCATGCAACCCCATATGAAGAGGTCTTACAATCAGAATGGGTTTATTTTTATATATAAATGATTTCTAGGTTCTACACGAGGGGCAACTAGGCTACATGGTAGGTGAACAAACATCAACAGCTTCCCAAACACTGAAAACAAATCAAGATCTTCAGTCACCTTCAGTCCAAAAGCTTGGCCAAGAAACAACCACTGTGTCGAATGTCCAACAACCCCTTCCCTATCTTCCCTCGATTTGGTGGCGCCCTCTCCGCCAACGCCGCGCTTGGGGCGCCCCGACCGGTGGAGGATCTCCGAGAACTTCTGCTGAACTCCGCGCAGCGTCTCCGCAAAGTCTGCGAAGGAAGCAGTGCAAAGGAACGAAGCCGAAAGATCTGGATTCAGTGGGTGGCTGGAGGTTGAGATTCACACGTATATTGTTCTCAAAGAAAGGTCAGGACCTGAATGTCGCTGAATGTGATGTTTTCATTCTGTATGCAGAAGTAGTGTTGATGTTTGTATCAGTCACAAAAATCTCAAGCGGGCGGTGTGTGGGTAAAAACCATTAAAACAAGTCCAGTACACTTGCATCTTGGAAGCAGTCCCGTTCGCATCTACGCAGTGAAGATGAATTAAATGCGTTCTTTTAAGCCTTGAAGTCAAACCAAGCAAGGCCAGGTTTGAGGAGAAGGGTTCTCTTTGTTTGAACCTCAGGGAACTATCAAAGAGCGATCATGTTGACGGTTGATCAATCAACCCGTCTAGAATCTAGAATAGACGTTTCTACACTGGGAGGACTGGAAACCAAGTGCCTTGAAAGAACATTCTGGAGTTGGCTGAATCCATGGATTCAATCAACTGACACGTTTGACACATTCATGAGACAGTCCATACATCCGTGGCATCTGGCATCTTCGGAGTTTGGCGAAACACGTCCGCACCTTTGATCCCGATCCGGCAACCAACTCAAATTTTTAGTCAAAAGACCCTCCTCTTTGGTTCCAGGTGCTTCCAGATCTCAAAAGAGCACTAAGTCGCTCCTGCCCTGCAAAACCTGCCATGCGTTACCACTCGAGAAGAAGGCCCTGAGCCTCCTCCAATCGTCCACCAATCTCTAAGAAAATCAAAACACCCCTGTGACCTTGTCCACCATCCACCTGGAGTCTTTAAGTTTCGCACCAAAAACCGATCCACGTACACATCTACACTGAGTCTGCACCCATCTCCCTGCCGCGAATTCGGGCCGCGCCTGCATCCGTCATGGCCGAACACTGCAGAACATGCGGCCGTCCGTCGGACGGCGCGTGCTGCGCGAGACGTGGTCTGGTGGGTCTGGGTTATGCTCCCCTCGACCGTCAACAAGAACACAGCCGACCGAGGTCGACTGCGCCCAAGGTCGACACCTGGTGATTAGTCTTGGACAATCATAAGCAAAACCATAAGCAGTCAACATCAATCAGAAGTTCTACTAACACTATGGAACACTTCCAAGATCTTCCAGGTTATTCAAGGGGATATGTTAAAACCAGCACAGGTGTGATGATGTTTAATAGTGGATTCCCTGTCGCTCAAAGTTGCAAATCTTCTAATTAATTCACAGTGGATCCCTTCCTCTATCCTAGTCACCCTCCAGTACCAAAGAGGTGTTTGAATGTATTTGATGGATCATCTGGGACTCTATGGACAAAGGCCACGTACTTCACAGTTCCCTCAACATCTTTTCTGACTGCATCGCTGATGTCCAGATTCCAGATGTGTTGCTGCAGGTGTTGAACGTTGTGAAGTGGCTAACCCAAGCGATCCGCTCGAGCGAAAGCGAGCTGTCGGCGTGTTGCCCGTGCTTCGTGCGCCCAAACAGGCTGGGCATGTTAGCCTTTCATGAACAAGGTAAACCTGCAAAAGCCCTTGAACCCAAAAAACTGAATTGGGAAGCTACAAGTAGCTTAAGAGGATCAAACATGATGTTCAATAAGCCACGGTTATGTGGAATGGGAACCTGAATCTTAACACGCCTGAGAAAGCAAAGAAGTCCATTGAAACTACATTCCATTGCGGAATTGTGCAAGAAAGATTTCGACCAATCACTGCCCTACAAGGTACAAGTACATGTCTGTGACCGGGAAGTAGATGCAGCTAGGGAGCTTGGCTTCGTGTCCAAACACCGACGGTCCCTTCGGTCCCTTCGGTCCCTTCGGTGGCCGCCCCACCCGGATCGACTCGTCCGAAGATCCCACTGTGACTCCAAAGGTGAAATGGTATGCACAGATTCATCAGAGATGTGCAATTTCATTCACCTCAGCTCCATCTGATTTTCTATCCAAACTTTACATACCACCCGGTGAACAAACAAAGGAACAGGAACCCAAAGAGGCCATCTTCGACAGTAAGGTAAGTCAGTGGTACTTCCTGTACTTCCTCGCAATGGGACCACTTGCTTCCCACTCCAGCAGTTCCAAAGCGGGTTCTGGAAGGTAGGGTGGAGAAAGGGGTGGTCTGTCAGAGTAAAATATGAATCCTCATGATTTCTCAGTCTGGGTGCCCCCGAACGTTGTCTCAACCATCTTAGCACTTCGTACTTCTCTTTCTTCGCGAAGCCGAGACGAGATCACAACCAGGAGCATCTGACAATGCTGCTACTGGCGCGCGATGTTCTGCGATGTTCCGCTGTTCCGCGCCGGCGTGAAGTTCAGAAATACCTGAAACTCCGGAATGGATCGGTTGACCTCAAGGACCATCGATTCTATGGCTATGGGTCCTGGCACAAGGACACCTTGGACCTACCGACGATAGGTCCTTCACCACATGGTGGACCAAGGCTCCAGGTATGATCCATCCTCATGTTCTGCATGATTGGTTCACAGCTCTGGTAGTTACACTCACCTTGGCAATCCAAGACCATCCGGATTGAATCGCATCTTCTTCTTTGGTGGATCAGTTCGGGTGGTAGTCTTCCATTCTTGAAACTCTCAAACCCTTCATCTCATCTGAACTCCAGAACTCCGCTTCTAAGGCTTCACGATGAACCAGGAGGATGGCACGTCTTCACTGGTGGTCACCTGCAAAACGTCGGTGCTTTCTTGTTTGGATCGACCTTGGCCGGTCTCATTGTTTGTTCTCGCCTTGGGAGGAGCACCTATGGGATGGCCACATGCATCGTGATATAGTGGATTGAGAGGACCAATGGCACAGACCCCAAGAGGTGGTTTATATGGACCCCCATCTAAAGGACATCTTGGGGTGCTAGTGCCACCTACTCTGAAACCACTGTAATCACACAATCACACATTGTTGGGTGCACCCTTCTATAACAACCATGCAAGGAGAATACCTCGCACATGGTGGAGCTGTAATTACCCATCATATACGCTCTAAGGGATGTCGAACTAACTATTACCATCACGTGCAACCTCGTTCTGGACCACGGTTTGACCTCCAATATTAATGATATTCAGTGATCACTATAAAAACCGGTAATTCAGCTAGAAAGGTTGGCTTGCACCGGTACCTAACAACTACCCACAAATCCATGCCGTGTTATTCATTATCTCGCCCCCTCTCAATACAAACCAAGAGTTTCGGCACCTGCAACGTGGCTTGGCTATTCCTGTTCAAAAAAGGCCCTCCCGGACCCTCCCGCCAACAAACATGGAAGTGGACAACCCCATGCTTGTAGAATAAAAGTGTCTTTCGAGGGATCATGCCATCCACTTGTTAAGTGTGGGGAATCATCTTCAAAGGGAGTCATCCCATTGCATTGGTGAGAATGCGCCATCGCCCCTCTCTCAGGGCGCCGTGGGTCGCTGTTGGTCTCCACCAATCGCGTCATGCGATGGGTGATTCTTCGTCCAAACACACTCACAACATCTCACAACTCTTGCAACATGTTCCATTCAAAACAAACATCCAAACAACCAACCAACATCTTGGACCCGAATCTCCAAGCACATGTCAACACCCAATCTCAACACCCTGTCAACTACTTCGACTGGGACTCTGGGTGGTTGCATTGTAGACCCCAAATCCTGGGGTCTTACTGCTTATTGATAACATCCCAAAGCAATTAGTAGCGTTCTTGCTCCGTTCGTGATGTCGTTATGCACCTTATGACCTCCATGCGATGCCCGTGCGATGCCCGCAACGATCGCTCCGTCGCCGCTTCGGTGGCAGCTCGCGCCGGTCCTGCAACTGTCGCTGCTGGGCGAAGCGATCCACCGCGGCCCGCACCTGCGCCGTGCGTTCGCGGCAGCCCGTGCCGCACGGCAGGTGACAGACATCATGTGGGACCAACAAAAAATCATATCACTACTGTAGAAGATATGGAATCTACATGTGGGCTGGGGTTGGTGTTCATGGACTTCTTAAAATAATATGTTTGAAGTTTGAAGGGCGGTTTCGGCGATTCCACGCGAATGCGATGCCCAAACAAAGGCAATCATTTTCCACCGCTAGGGATCCAAAATGATCCAAGTACCTTCTCAGAAGGTACGACAGGACCCTCCAATGGCGCCGACATAAAAGTGTCCCCAATCACCGTAACTCAGAGGGTGGCAGTGGATCCATATGGAAATGATGGAACAACTGGTGGGTGGATGTAGGTGGTGGTGCAAATGATGAACATGAAGCAAGCAACATAGCATCAGACCAAACACCTCAGCAACACGCTGAGCGAATCTGCTTCACGGAACCCACGGGTGCGGAGCAGAACCCGTGGTTCGGAATGAAGACTTCGACGGTTGGATTTGGGACGCAGAATTTGGAGAAATGTTTCTCATGAATCATTAAATTAATAACTCTTTATCAAGAATCTATCAAAAGTCCAACAAACATCTGCGTCCCAATGATGTCCGCATATGTCCACCCAATGTGTTTCTGTCGACCCTCACCGTTCACCATGGATTTGGTCCAATCTTGGCAAGCTGGTGACGCACAAAGACCTCTGCAGGCTTCCGATTTCGTTCTAGGCAAGAAAAACCATCCCAAACAATCCATGGGACTAATAGTAACCATCCCATGGGGTCGTGTTCTGTCTGGGGCAAATGTATTTTGTCATATTTGTTCACTCTTCCCGTCCCATGGATAGTCTGGGGAGTTCGTAAAGAATATTAATCACCCCGGAACTTGGGGACCGGTCAAAAAGGGCGCCCGATCCAATCCGGTTCTTTCTTGGGGGATGGTAAGCCATGCAGAACTTGTAGAGAAAGGTGGCTTCTTCCAGAGATTCACATTGTCACATTGTATATGATTTCTATGATTCTCTTTCATTAGTGTCTGCACTGCCCAAGAAGGGCTGCGCCACTACCGGACTTTGATCGCGTCGTGCTATGAAGAGCTGGACATAGCTGGACAATCTCTTTCACGCATGAAACAGACCTATGGTCCATTGTGGCCCTATGTGCACCAGCAAAGACTCGTTGGTGGCTTCAAGTCACTTTTCCAAAACTCAGTCAGTGGGATCAAGCAAGCTCAAGCAAAGCTTGACATGCCAATATCTGAAAGCACCACCCAGGAGGATATATGCTAGTGCCTTCCGGCACCGGGATATATATATATATATAAGTTGGGACGTTGAGACCAGTGAATGAGATGGGTGATTGAGAGACCGAGCCAGAGCCAATCAGCCAATCTTCAAGACTCTGTCAATCCTGAAGGCCACGAAAGAGAATCCCAATCCCACAAAAAATCTAACACGACCGCTGGGACTGCCATATTGGCGAAATGAGGTGAGTTGGAGGGGGTCAATTGATGTTCCAGTCCCATGGAGTCTGTGCCAAAGGGCCTGCATCTTCACCCCTTTTTGGTTTGGCTTTCAAAGCACTTTCGACATCATCTCAACATATCGATGGACCATCCGTGGGCCCCTTGGAAGACCCTTAGGCCCCTTGGAAGCTCGACCCGGCCATCCGGCTTCAATCGACCAGACCAATACCTGGAGTTGACCCGGAACTGGGACCTCAGAAAATGGGGCCCCAGTCGCAGCTGTTCTTTTTTGGGGGGGTTCATGTGCCATTTCCCAAGGTGCTTGAAGTCGGGACCAGGCAGGTTCTTTAAAAACAAACAAACACGCATCCAGTGGATACCCAAGTAAACGTACACACAGAACCCCATCCTATTGATACCCCCAAACCAGATTCGCAGGTGAAAACAGTGATTGTCAGTTGTCAGGTTCATCCTTTTTCGGTGTTACCAGGTGCATTTGGTCTCTGGGACCTGGTCGCGTTGGAAGACGTCGGAAACCGGACTCGGCCTGAATCTTACGCGCAGCATCGTCCATGTAGGTGCTACCTGCCAACAGGCCAGTAGGTGGCAGGGTCTATCATAGTAGAAAGAAACATCGAAAACTGCATCTTCTATCTGTATGCTGCATGGTTATGAACCCGACCAGCTCTTTGAAGCAAATACCATCGATGATGCTTGCGCTACGCTAAGAACAAACTCCTTCGAGGCAGCCTGGTTCCATCTCACTTCGAGTTTGAAGGATGCAACACCGGCGAGCTTGAAACCTTTGGAGACGGGGAAGGGACGTCGAAGTACATCGAACATCATGTCAGACAGCTTCCTGTCTCCATCTGTCTCCGAGTTTTCCACGCTTCAAAAACTAAGGGTGACCCTAGGGGACCCGGTTGCTTAATGTAAAGTCCTTAGGAATATATGGTTGTTCAGTAAACCATTCAACCCATGGTGGGAAGAGGTCGCCCTTATGTGTCTCCTTTTAGTGTCGCCCTTGGACCCCTAGGAGGCCCTCTGAACGGGACCGCTTGCTCAGATCGCCATGACAAAGCCCCATGCAGTTCAGATCTTAAGCGAAATGAAGGACCCCGTTTGACCTTTGGAATCCATCGATTTCCACACGATGTGAGCATCCATTACCCAGACACTCCGTGAGACTGGCATGTTGACCTAACCAACCCAAACGTGGTGGACATTAAGAAAGACATACAAAAAAGGGGTGCATGTCAGTTTGTCAGTTTTCAGATTCGTGGAAAAAGAACCGACATCATATGGAATCCTCGACGGGATGATGGGACAACTGGTGTGGCCTGCAGTTGTCCCTTCATTGATCCTGCGACTTCGATGGGATCCTCCTCTGCCCACTTTGAGTGGGCGAAACAACTTCTCTTGAAGCTGTACACTCCCTCAAATCATCTTGGAAGTGAAAAACCACCGGTTTGTAAAGGAAAATGGCCACCAACGGGTCACTCGCCACTTCTATGCTTTCAGGGAGTGTATGGGATGCTTACGTCCTTCATGCAAAAAATATGTGAACCAGAACAACAATTCCCTCTAGATTCCCTAGAATGGGCAAATGCACCTGGGTCAAGTAAGCAACACACCTATATACATAATATAATTATATACTACCTCTCGCGCTCTGCTCTGTCGTCTCATGTGTGAAACATGAGGGGAGCGTGTTGCCCTACCTCTGATAGAGACAACTACAAAACATGCAAGTGAGAAGTTCAAAAGTCAGCAATAGGAATCCATTTAAATACCATATATAATATAACTATATACCATGTACAATTGGTATCAATTGGTCTTTCCTTCAAAAAGGAACACGTCACCGTGTCGTCAGAGACGCGTGTGAAACGCCTGACCGTCCGTCCTACCACGCGCCTGCCATCAGCCCGCCAGATGCCAAGATCGGCCACCAAAGCTCCAAGTCGCGAGTCACCTGCTGGGCTTCCGGTGCTAGGTAAGGGGCAAAGAGCCTGACATCTTGAGGTACGACCCCGGAAAATGGGTACAAGTACCTGTTTTTTCATGTTTTTTTCTATTTTTTATATAGGGTCATGTCCTATTTTCCGGTACGTACTTCCATCTTTGGAGGATCCAGGTAGTACTGAACTCTCGTGGTTTTTCAAGTTCACTCTGGAACTTCCAAATCGCCCTCCTTGGTTGGTGAAGGGGCAGTCTTTGGGAAAGGCCACTAGATGGGCAAATGGAAGTTCACCTTGGGGTAAAGCACAGAGTTTCGAGAAATCACCTTTTGGGTAGGCGGAGTCGATTCTATTCAGTCATGGTGTTATATGGTGTTAGTCTTTTCAACAAAACTGTAGGCCAACGAAACAGAACTGTAGGCGCTGAAAGCAACTGGCGGTCACTGGGCCAGAAACACCAGCTTCCGACCTCTTCAGATTTTTGTTACGTGGTCTTGGGTGAGTGAGTGCTGGCCTTGGTACGGAAAGACTTAATTGCGTAACCGTTGGATTTGTCTTTATGTTCCAGTGAGAAAGTCGTTTCTTTGGTGCCGTGGTTACCCGAATGAGGAATGTTCGACCAAAACCGTGGGCATCGAGGAAGGCATACCTTGTTGTAGGTTTGGGAATGGAAAAAGCATATGCATGCAATGCCCACCAGCCTACTCTAAAGAGCATGCCATGCATTTGGTTGAGATGCTCAGGGCAATTTTTCTGCACCGGGTCTGTGAACGCAATGGCCTGCAAAAAGCGGGCGATGCACGCACCTCTTCTTCCGCATGGTTAGCATCGATGTAGATAAACCTAAGCAAAGCACACAAATTGGACATGTCTGTGATGAACAATATTGTTTAAAGGAAAGCTCAGCCCATGGTCAATTGTGATAGCCTGGCAAAAAGAAGCCCTTGCTAAGGCTTAAAATCGGCCAAGTGCAGAATCTTGAGTCATACGAAGAATCAAAGGCGAATGGAAGAATCCAAGGCGATGCCCCCACCCGTCCGTCAAACAAAAAGTCAAATTCATGGATTTGCTGCTCCGAAGAACAGGGATATAGTATTTCTATAATATATGTATTTCGAACAGCAGGGGATTCACCCATACGGTTCACGGTTCACATCATACCCGGGGTCAGGACCAACCAAGCAAGAGACCCACATGCGGCAGTGATTCATTGCCGCATGGGTGCTGACCCCTTAGCCCTTAGCCCTCGCAAAATGGGCCAACCTGCAGCTCTAAAAGAACAAATCCATCGTGAAAAATGGATGAATACTATATAGACCAGGGCTGACCATCACAACCGGACCTACACTCCCTCAAATCATCATGAAAGTGGACAACCACAGGTTTGTAGAGGATTTTTTTTTCTCCAAGAGGCCATTGTCCAATTCCATGACAATTTCAGGGAGTGTAGGTTCAGACCAAAGATTCAATCTACCCTGTGCAGGTCTGTCATTGACAAATCATCGACGCAGGCAAATCCTGCAAGAATGGTTGCAAACTAGTCTGAAAACAATGGAATCCCTGAACACCAAACATTGAAGAACACCAACAAAATAAATGCCAGATTTGTGCGCAAGATTAAACGCGTTCCCAAGAGATATCCAGCAGAAAAAAGATGAGGTGGGCGGCCACCCAAATCAAAGAAGAGTGCTGACAACAACCACATAGCTGAGAGGCTTGTTTGTGATTTCTCAAATGCAATATGGTCTGGACGTTCATCACTGACTTCAGCTACAGTGTTGCGAACACGAGCTCAATCCGCCTCCTCCCTCTGAAGAGCCTTCGAAACATGATATTGTGTTGGCCATCCGGCCCCAAAAACCAACCAACTCTTCAAAGCATCTTCAAGTTGCAAAAACCCCAAAACCTGTTCCGAACCGTAACAAATTCGGCCAGTCCACCCCCCAAACAAAAACAAGGTCTTCGGCTGATGCTCCCAGCCCATTCCACCCATCCTTTTGGGGCCAACGAAACGTGGCCACGCCCGGGGTCTGGTCCGCACGACGGTAGACCTGGCAGGTCCAAGACCGAGAGCGGAAACACAAATGGATGATCAACCAGGACCTCTTTGAAGACTCTAAGTGACCTTTGACAAGCCTGTCTCTGAGTGACCTCAGCCACTGGGATCTCAAGTTCGGTCACGAACAGGTCCTGGAAGTTGGGTGCTTCAGTCCTCAAAGATCCGAGCTGATAATCCCAAGCTGCGCAGCATGATATTTACATGGGTTTGGGCCAAATCCAAACACATGATTAAAACAACATGCAATTGTTCAGGTGCTTCAGTCCTTCTGGAGTGGACATGGGTGGAGAACCGGAAGCGCTTGTGGATGGAACAGGGTGGACCTTTCTTGATTTGCACTCTTTCCAGGCCATTTCAATCAAAGCCGCGTCCTCCAAGTGTAGAAGAGTCTATCAAGCTTATGGGGAGCGGCGCAGCCAGGTCTTAAGTTTATTCTATTCCCTCCACATCCTTCCACGATTCAGGCGTTTCTCATCTAAACTTGCCTTGATTTAATGGGCCTTAAAGCCTTAAAGGTATACTGGACACTTAAATCTGTGGCGACTGGTAACAAAAGTGGCTCTCACAATCCCCCTCCGATGGATAAAAACGTGCTAGGCCTTCTTTGTAGACAGGACGTGCACTTGAATCACCACAAATGCTTCCTAAGAAGAGGGTCTTGTTGATTGGAACTTTTGCCCAGGCTTCCTCAGCTCGACTGAGAAAACATTTCCTGTAATATGTATGTATATACACACCCAAACAATTACATGTATGTCAGATTTACCTATCTTTATAGATTGGGGTGGTTTCCGGGGTCAATGAGTATATAGGTAAATATGCAATACATGGCGTGGTTGGGATATGCATATACATCATGTTATCTTCATAGAACCGCCATAGAATCTCTTGGTGTGGGCACTACCCCAAACACTCCATGGGACTGGCGACCTACATTGGAGTGAAAGAGGGATCAATGCAAAAACATACTGTGCCTGGAACTGCCAGAGGACAGCCCCCCCTGTTTGGTCTTCGGATTTAATCCGAGTCTTCGCGGCGAAGCGATGGAGTAGTTCGTCGCCCTTTCAGCTCCGCCCGACCTCTGCGAAGGAGTAGGAGAAGTCCCGGACCTGAAGGCAAGTGGAGTGGCAAGAAGTGAGGCCGTCGTGGGATCAAGCTAGTCAAGTATTGCGCTTGAAGATGGGTCTTTGGAAGTGGTTTATGTTTTTTTGCTTTAAAAATCTTTAAAAATGGTGCAACTGTTTGATCCATTGCCATATATTCCGTATACCTTCATTGGTGCTTCCAATCAAATTCATGTCTGTGCTGGGGAAGAAGGAACTTATCCGGGCTCGATGCCAAACATCCATATACCGAACTTGGTTTTTCACCTGGGGATATCAACTCCTATTTCATCAACCAACCAAGGGCGTCGGTGAGGCCATCTGAGTGGGTGCTGAAAACCTGGTTGCGGAGATCCGACGGAGGTTCCCATGTGTTTTGTCACTTGTTCATTTGAGTGTTCATTTTGGGAGATGTCCGACTAGCACACTAACTTGAACATAATCAAATCCAGCCAAACATGACCCCCTTGGTAAGGTCGGATCAAGAGTGATCAATAAAATATGGTGTGATGAAGAACACGAAGAACACCAAAATTCTCCAAAATAGGATCCTATCAAGTCAGACTTTGTGAGTGACACGTATCAAGTCAGACATGTGAGTACAACTCAAGACATCTCAATTCAAGATTTGCACTTCAAGACTCCAGACACCACAAGGGCCAAATCGACCGCAAAACTCACGACCATGGCAACATGGTCCTCACCATGGCGTGAAAACAGATTGACATGTCATGGTGGGGATCAGACGAAGTTTTCAGTGATTGTTCTTTTTCAAGTGGCCTCTACGTAAGCATGTCTAGTGAGGGATCTTCGACCCTAACCAACTTGCTTTTGGAACCGGACCTAAAAAACAAGTCCCCCTTGCTTGAGGATTCATTCATCCAGTTCGGGAAAATACCTTAAGGTTATCTCCCATTCCCTGGGCCCACTGGATTATGGTTAAGTTGCAAGCCTTTCTCTAAAATAGAGAATTGCGACTTCCTACTGACTCGTACAGGTAATGGGACACCCCTACAAATATCACCATCACCTTCAAAAACCATAAACCACTCGGACACGACGCTCGGTGCCCACGCCAAGACATAGCGCCCTTCGTAGGGTTCGAGGCGATTCCGAAGGTCCTGGGAGCAACGCGTCGAAGGCAGACTGATGGTCTATACCCTGTTTTTGGGGTTACTGGACCGCATCCTCAGAAGGTAGTAGGATCAGTACGATATGTTGGGACGGCTTCACTTCTTTAGGGCCTGTTTTGGTTTTGCTTAGGGCTTCACTCCCTTTAGGATGTCTTGGGTTCCCAGAAACCAGTCCCCAGAAGCCAGTTCCCAGAAACCACTTCCCAGAAACCACTTCCCAGAAACCACTTCCCAGAAACCACTTCCCAGAGACCATTTGACCCGCGTTCCGAAACGATCCGAATCCGCGTTCCGAAACGAGCTGAATTCGCGTTCCAAAACGAGGCGGAGGCCCTTCCAGGGTGTATGGTTTGATGTGGGGTCAGTGGGGTTGATATCCATCTGTCGCTTGGCAAGCTGTTTCTTTTCTTGGTGGGAACAAGTGACCAGATCATCGTCCGTGAAAATGCCACCATGATAGCCAGGTACAATTTGATAATGCAAAGAAGTTGTCAACCTCCGAATTGGATAATGCCATCCACTAAATCAAGGAGACCTATCACCTGGATAGTGGTTTGATGTCCTTTGTCACGCTGACCAGGCGTGAAACCAGCCTGCGCAGGTTCGGTCCCACCGGGACATGGCTGAACCCTACGGCGGACATGGCGGACACCTGGTACCGGTCGAATGAACAGAATAAGTCGACGATACCTGGGAGGTCAACCGGAGCCATATGACACTGTAACAAGTTTATCCTTGAGCTGTGTGTTCTTCGCATGGAAATGTGTCAAAGGGGTCAGAGTCTGCATCCTCCCGGCCACATTCTGAAAGCATCCAACCTCTCCTCGAAAAGCATCTGGTGCTCATTGTCCTGCAAGTTCGCAGGATCCTGCAACGGATGGGGGGCCAGTTAATGGGGGGTATACCATGTTTCAATTAACTTGAACATGGAATGTGTCAACACACCTGGTTCTTTAGGCTCCATGGTCCAAGTTTTGCTAGGGTGAAAGTTGTGCAACAATCAGGGAATGTGCATTTAACAAAATGGGTGTGATCCTCTCTGTTTGTTACATAAGAAACACTTCTCATCGGCCGCGACATTGAACATAATGTTGGTAACAGCAAACATCCATGTGACAAGGAACTACAATTTGCGCTGTGTGCGCAACACGGCCAACTTCGACAAGGTGCCTGGAACATCCAGCTGAGACACCAAATACGTTTCATCCTAGTCATTGCGTGACAAATCATCTGCACCCACAATTACTTTGTTGGCCACGAACTCCCAGTTGACCATCCTTGGCTGCACCATTTAAAGTCTCAACTTGAAACAAACCATATATGGTGAGTTCTGCTCTCGATCACAATTTCAAACAATCAGCCTGGTCAAAACAGTCTGGATTGTGTCCTTGTGTATCCAGGGCCACCAATGACCAGGGACTTTTTGGTTTTAAAGCCACCGGAGTTGCAAAGGGTGTCCATCACGTGCCCCTCCATGCCCCTCCATGTGAGTGCAGAACATACACTTTGAAAAGAAATGCATTTTTTTCTCAAACATCCCTATGCCAGTTTATATGTTTGAACATATTACAGAACTTGTGGATTCCGGTAAAAGGTCAAAACATGATCTATAAATTGATCAACAAGAACTATAGTAACTATACGCTTTACGATATCAAAAACAACATAGCAAGGATCCCAAAAACATCATGCTGAACAGCTGGTATTGTATTCACCGCACTCCCCAAGGGCCCTGCTGTGAAACATCCGGAAGGTCGCGCAGCTCGAGTGCTTGTGTTGGGAAGAAACCCTTTGGTTTGTCTTTTCTATGCGGTTGTTGTTGTTGTTTGCGGACTTAATGGATGTAATAGGAGGTGTAGCCGTATAGCCGAAACAAACTCAACTGGCAAGTAGGCAAAGTCCTCGTAGCCTCTCCACTGGTGGATAAATGGATCCACCAAGTACCTGCAAACATTGGGGCTGGGCACCCGCAAAAGAAGACATCCCGTCCTCAACGTCCGACAGATGAAATAAGTCCTCCAACGAGTTCATGTGGATTGTGTCGCCCGTTCAGTTGGGAGAATTGACCGTCTGACCAGGTCACACAAATACACAGATCCCAGGTCACAAATCCAATAGATTGTAATATGATACATCAGCGCTTACATAAGCATACATCAGCCACAATCTACAGGTCCAACATTCCTGCCCACTCTTCCCAACATCACCCACTTCTGTATATATATATATACATATCTAACTGAAAAAAAAATGTTCTCGACCCCCCCGTCATCGTCGTACCCCGCTGGATCCTGAGTCAGCCGACTCTCTTCCACACATGAGCAACCTGAACGCGAACATTCATATATGGTCGATGGCACAGGTCGCGTCACCTCAACCCATCTTCCGAGCTAGCCCCCTTGGACAAACTGTGGGTGTTTTTATGTGTTTTTGGGTGTTTTGGGGCACTGTCCGGTCAGAGAACACGTGCCGTTGATGTCGTATCTTCCCTTTTGAGTCTGGTCTGGTCGGTCCGGTCCCAGCCATCTGGACTCCCTCGCTGGGTCCCCCCACAGGCCATGCGCGGAGGACCAATCCCGCAAGAGCTTCAAGGCGAAGTCGCCCCGGCCCACGCCCAGAATCACCTGAGTGCCGCAGGGCGCTTACTGGCGTACCCTTCTCGGACACAGGGTTTGGATGGGTTTGGAGGGGTTGGAGGGGTTGGTTATGGAGGGTTCCAAGTACACCCTATAGGATTTGGAGGGTCCTGTCGTACCTTATGTACCTTCTCAGAAGGTACGACTGGATCCCTAGGGACACGAACCGCCCCGGCTCCAGGACTGTGTGCGCTGAAAGGCTATGGGCGCGCACTCTGCGCACTCTGGATGTGATCTCTTTTGTTGGCTGGAGAGAGCTAGAAATAACAAGAAAACAGGACGTCTCAAGTAGGAGGCCAGTGAGAGACCATGATGTTCAGTGACTCAAAGAACCGTAAGGGCCACAAAAGCCGAATGTGAGATGCTTGACCACCAAAACAAATAGATGTAAAGTAGAGTGCTTCAAAAATCAGTGGCAGGATAGAATACAGTAGGTGGCAACCTCGTGCACAAGTGCGCCAAAGATCCAACAAGCAAGTGGGAGCCTGGTTGGTTCTAACATGTGTTGCTTCCCGTGCCGCTCGCAGCTACCAATTTACTTTTACTGTAAATCCAATTTGCCCTGTCTTATCCCTGGTGACAACAAATGCCCAAAGACCACCTGTTGGAGTCTCCAAACAGCCTGTTGAAGGGTCCTTGTACTGTTATTATCCTTCAGCTTCCAATAGGTGTCTTAGCTGAGAGGGGTTCCTGCGCCCCAGTCCATACTACAGGTCACCGTCAGGGCACCCACAAAAACCAACAGAGTAAAAACAAAAGACTTAAAATTGACACAATTCTTCAACCCACTGGCCCACTGCGATATGTTTTTATCGGATATATGGAAGTGGTAGCCTTTCCAAAAATCGTCCAAACCCTTCGGACCGGGTCCACTCAAACCAGTGGGAAGGGGCTAACATTCGTGAAAGCCGCGGGTCCTGAAAATCACAGGCTGATTTCCCTTACGGGGCCCTTACAGCCGGCGTTTTGGGAGATCGTCCATAGTTCGATGGTCCATGGTGAACCGGCTTGGGTGAGGGATGCGGCCCACGCCCGACCTGTCCAGTCGATTCGCCACCGACGCCCAACTCGGATGGCCGACGGATCCACCAGGTCAACCTCCCGCTCTGGATCAAAGGTCCTGTCCTCATCCCCTTAGACCGAACTCTTCTGTCCCCCTGGTTCTTCAGTTCGTGACCGAACTTGAAAACCTGGTTGTTTCGGTCACAAACAAGCCTCCTGGACTTGGGTCACGAAAAGGAACCTTCAACAGGTCACGTACTGAAGAAGCTGGAAAGTGGATCTTTCTTCGCCCACACCGGACCTCCCAAGCCGCTTCGAGTGGCTCCCAAGCCGCGTGGCATTTGGGCCTGGAGCGAAGAGACAGCTGCGACAGGAGCGATCGAATGGACTATCCAATTGTTGATTGGATTTGGATTTATCATCGGATTCCTGGGTATCAAGGTTAAACACTTCAAACCACCACCACATCATAGAGAACAATACTGTACTGCGAACAATCTACGGCAGCTCAGGGGCCTGTGGACAGCCTCTGGGAACTAGCGACAAAGCTCCAGAAAACGCCGCAGAACCCGCCAAGCCCCAAGGCCCCGACGGAACTAGGGATCGAACCGACCAGGATCCTGACCTGTTCGTGACCGAATTTGATATCCCAGGAGGCGGTGGTCACTCACAGACAGACCCGTCACACACAGGGCCTCCAAAGAGGTCACGAACAGGTCAGGCCCTAGGTATCTGTTTTTGGCCATGAGAAGAACCATCGAAGAAAATAATGATCGATTTCTAACATTGGGGCACACCTCGTATGAACGAGTCCCATTTGCTGCTGTCACCATCTCCATAAACCAAAACAAACCTGCATCTCTCAAAATGGTTTTGTTATGTTACTGTGTCATACTCAAAGCACAAAAACAAAGCAACAAGTAAGCGTTGTGGTGGGATGATGGCCATCCATCCGATGGCCATCCACGGCGCGTGAACCAACCTTCGGTCACCCCAACGGCGCCAACCTGCAGGAGTTGACCCAACTCGTCCCGGCGACGCACCAAGCCGCCCTGAGCGCTGCGGAGGGAGCGAAGATGGACTGAGTGCGGGCCAGTGCGGGGTCTCGGCAGGAGCGTCGTGTTTTTTTACTAAACCCAAAGTGGTCAACATGGAAGCAGCCATGGAACCAGGCCCTAACTTGAAGCATCATCACATGTGCACATGTCCCACGTATTTTGGAATGCGTTGGCGTGTTTTTCCTTCAAAAGGCTCCAAGTATCTCAGGATCCATCGTTGGATAGAAGGTGTCTTCAGACGGAGGCTGACCAGGTGTGACCAGGCCTGGCCTCGCAAAAGTCCTGACTCAAATCTCAAATCTCCTCCATTCCACCTCTCCAAAACAGGTGAGGTGCCATTTCATGGAAATCGTGCCATGTTATGTGCCATGACGGCGATGATTAATGACAATGTCTCATGTCGCGTTTTTGAAATGGAAAAAATTACAAACACATCAACACGCGGCGCGTGGAAATCGAACCCGTTTGTTACTCGCTTATCCTTCGAGCTTCCATCAACTGTCACAACTTCTTCAGCAACCCCTCCTCATGATCAGGCCAAAGTTTGTTAATGTGTGTTGGAAAGTCATCATTTGGGATGCTCCAGAAATGCGCACGGGGATTTTGGGTGAAGTTGCGTGATACGACTCCTTTCACTGCAGGCCTCCCAAACTATATCAAGATCAATTTTTTCTTACCGAAGTTCATGGTCAAACCTGGGATTTGCCAAGCTCGAGCCCTGGCTGGTTGCCTGTTTGGCTCGGCCGGTTGACGTCGTCTTGCTCCATTCGATCGATTAATGATATATATCCCAGACACTCCATGGGACTGGTAAATTTACCTACATTGGGGTGGTTTTGGGGGTCAATGGTCAATGTAGGCATATATGGCATACATGGAGTGTCTGGGTATAATTACATATTCAATACATTATGTTGGTTAATTATACTGAATGGGAGGCTTAGAGGATATCACTGCCGGCCTGCTGACGGAGCGAACCTGTCAACTTTTTTGGGGTTGTGTGGCCAAAAGCTTCTTTGCCCTAGCTCCGAAACCCAGGTTCCTGAATGGTGTCCATAATTATAGGATATCCACCATTTTGGTGATCCCCTATCCAAAAAATACTACATCCGAGTTTCAATGGGGGGGGAGCACGTTCTTTGTTTTTACTCGCTGGAAGTAAGGGATATCACGCGTTTTTTGGGCGGCCCAGGAACTGGTCTGCCCACTTCAGAACATCGGAACACCACACGGACCTCTTCCCACCTGCGCTTGGACGGCAGGCGGCGCTTGGACCCACTCCGTGGGCGGTGGAGCCTGACCGGACCGAGATGAAGCGTCCGCTGCGGACGTCCGCGAGTTGCCTTGGACTGAGGAGGTGCATTTTCAAGTCATGGCCACCGAGAAGTCATTGGAAAGAGGTTCAAACTCGAACCTGAAAACACACAAAATGAATAGGACCCGATACGGGCCGACCATCCGAACTGGATGTCCCAGGAAGGAATATTCGACCATTCTCGGGAAGTACATACTCTCCAAGACTGATGCGGGGGGTGATGCATCCACCCCCATCCATCGCCTGGCCTGCGGCGTCTGACTCCGCACCTGTCTGGGCACCTGAGGCTTGCGGTGTGGCTTGCCAGGGGTCGGAAGGCCGGGTGGCCCAAATCCACCAGCCGAAGCTTCGACTAACTGCCAAGAAAGGTCTTTTGTGACCTGAGATAGGACCGGATCATACTGGGCTAGCTAGTTGTACCTATGGGATAGTCCACAAATAAAACTGGGTCCTTCAACCTCTGTTGGTGACTTGGTGGTTGGCAACACAACATATCGTCCGCGGGATGATTTTCATCTCCGGAGCATCGTTGGACAACCAAAGCTGGAAGCACCACCCCAGGCCAAAGAGTGCACAGCTCACCGTGTGATGTGGAATTCGGGATCCAGTGAACACACCGAACGGCGAAACACAGCGCAAGTCAAACAGTTCAACCCGGTGGGACCTTGATCGGATGCCGTTGATCGCAGTCTGAGGACAAATCCCCTAAAATTGGTACAGGTCAGGAGCGGACTGCTCTGTATGACCTGGTGTTGGTCATACCAGGATCCACATACCTTCTCAGCTTCGGTACGACGGGGCCCGACTGGCTGGCGCCAATAACAGTGTCTCCGCCTCACCTGGATACCCAAGCACTACTTGGGTCAGACCGGTCAGACCTATAGAGCTTGGCCCAGGAGGGAGCAGACCGCGGCCTCCCACACTCCTTTCTTCGCATCCGCATCCATCCCCACCAGGACTGGACCCAGGTCCAGTCCCCTGGTTCTGAGAACCTGCGTAAGAGTAGTGTTGTCTGTATGATCGAGTCCACTAAAATGAAGTCTTTGACCTGTAGGGACCTGTAGGGATATATACCATTTTTAGCAACTTAGGGTGTGGGTATGTGTGGGTCAAGTGGCAAGGCAAACACCCACCCAACTTAACACGCCCTGGGCTGTTCACCCTCCTGTTCTGTTGGTAGAATCACTGCAAGTCCATGCAAATCCACTCTGCTTACTCAAACAACCCGAGCACAACACAGGTGCATTAGGCCCCCGCCCCAAAAGAAGCTAGCGTTTTCCGACCACCTCTCTGCAAAAACTGGCCATCAAATCTGGAGGGTGGAACAGATTCTGGATGTGATTCATGCTTTTGCACATCAACCACAAGGCCTCGATTCCCACAACACCCTCAAAGCGCCACGCCTCTGTCTGGCTCAAACCAGCCTGGCCACTCGTCTGGATCGGTCGGCTGGGCATTCTTTTTCGCCAGGTGCGCACCATTCCCACCACCAGCTGTTGATCAACGAAACATGAACTGACCAGAAAACGATGACACCCGGCAGGGGATTGAAACAAACAACAACACGTATATTGGCTTAAATTGGCCAAGGTTGTCATCCGAGAACATCAAAGAGACACCAGGGCCATACATGGCCGCACGCCTCCCACAAAAAGATAAGAACAACAACACTAATCAACATAAACCAACTTAAACCAATGTATGATCCCTCCGATCCCTCTTGGCTTTGACTTTCCAGAGTTCACTCCAATCCCATGCTTCATCCGAGAACCCAGAGACTCACCAGTCACCCCGCCTCAGTGCCATCCATCCACGCTGAACCCACCCACCCGCCTAATCCGCTCTCCCGCTCTCCACTTTCTCTGGCCTCGGAGTCCTTGAGATGCTGTAAGATGGGACTGGGTGGCGGCATCCGCCCACCAGCTGCCAGAGTCGCCTCTGAAAGAAAGACGAACGACGCAACGAAAGACGACGAGACGACAGGTTTTTCATGTGATTGCATCGGTTTGAACTAAAAGGGTCCAGGAGAAACGACTCCTCTCTTTACACCGAACTGTGTTGGATGGTGACTCCCAGTTGGGGGTAAAATCAGTCCAAACATGTCCAAACGGATGTTCTGGGTATCGATATGTTATACATTACAAGTCTGTTAACCTGGACCGTGGACATATTAATTGAGCGCAACTCCTTGATACAGTATCCGCGCGGTCAGCAGGAACGTCGACCAACAACCAAAACATACCTGATCAGATCGACCAAACCCGAGGGCCTAGGGCTCCAACCACATCTTCAGAAGGTAAATAGGCCTCCCA